ATCAAGAATGACTGTTATTAAATTAAGAATGACTCAGTTACTGAATCAAGAATGACTCAGTTATTGAATCAAGAGTAACTCAGTTATTGAATCAAGAATGACTCAGGTACTAAATCGAGAATGACTCATTGAATCAAGACTGACTCAATTACTGATTCAAGAATGACTCAGTTGTTGAATAAAGAATGACTCAGTTACTGAATCGAGAATGACTCATTGAAGCAAGACTGACTCAATTACTGAATCAAGAATGACTCAGTTACTGAATCAAGAATGACTCGGTTGTTGAATAAAGAATGACTCGGTTGTTGAATAAAGAATGACTCAGTTATTGTTGAAATTAGGTTTATTTTTATTTTGGACCCCACGAGGAGCGGCGGTCTCACCCTCAAGTCTTCAGAACAACAAATGTTCCTTCGGGTTCAGTTCTTTAGTTCTGGGTCATACTGTCTTTGGTTCTTCCTGAATGGTTCTATCTGCAAGTTAAAACGGGTTGATCCTGAGTCCGGTTCCCAGCGGAGAGAACGGGTTCACCTTGGCCCACATCAGAGCATCGTTCAGGGAAATGGACGATTTGTTGTCCTCCAGAACAAACACCGGACCCTGAGAACGAGACAGAACCCCACGATTACAGCTCCGGTACCGACAAACACACAGACGAGGGACGCTCAGCGACAAACGGACCTGGATCCTGTGTCCGGTGAAACAGGACAGCTGCAGGTCCGAATGGCTCGGCAGGTTGGAGCCCGTCACGTAATCGGCGCCACACAGAACCAGCGCTGCTGAGGGAGGAGAGAAACCTGATGGTTCTGCATCATCTGGGCTCAGGATTAAAAGCTTTAAGGGTCCAACAGAACCAAACAAAAACTGATTCTTAAAGACCTATAAGAGGTCCACTTCCCTTTAGTCAGAACTGACAGAAACTCCTGCTGGCCTGAGAAGATGTTTCAATGATCCAATAACCTGAACTGAATTAGGGTCAGAACTGGTACCTGGTTCTGTTGGCTGGATCCTCCTCTGCAGGCGGCTGAACTCTTCTCTCTGAGCCTCTGATGGAGGGCTGGTGGAGACACAAACACCGAGACATCGGGTCAGAACCAAACAGAAACTGAAGTATAAAACAGTCCAAAAGCATCTCAATATTCTGTCGGCTCTGGTCCTCAGATGGAGGTTCTGGTAAAGACTAGCTGCTTTCATGAACGTTCATGAATCAAAACGTTCGGCTCGTTCAGGACATTTCAGCTGCTACTTTCACTTTCTGTAATTTTTATACTTTTTAAATTTTTTTTTTGTATTTAGAAATGTATTTTCATTGAAACGAAGGAAGAATTCTTGAAACAAAACCTTGTCGTGATTTTTAAAATCTACTTCAGCCATTTATAACTCTTAGCTTCTAGCTCTTAGCTTTGAGCTCTTAGCTTTTAGCTGTTGGTTTGATTCAGATCCGTTGAACAGCTCAGAGCTTCTTTTGCTCTCAGCGTTCACACTTTACGGTTATGAAAGTCTAATACTGTTGCCATTTGTTCTGAGGTTCTGTATCGGGTTCTGCATCAGGTTCTGTTGATCTTCTGTTGTTTTGAACTTCTCTTCATTTCAATCCTCTGATTTCAAAGCGATCTTCCTCACAGATGTTTACGGTGGATGCTTTAATCTTCAGTCAAACCCGTCTCCACGGACCGGCCGACCTTTGACCCTGTGGTTGCCGTGGTAACCGAACAAGTTACCAGGGACTCAGGCGTTCCTCCAAACAGGAAGTGAGTGACCTACGTGCTGCTGGTCTGCGTGCATGCCCTCCAGGCGTCCAGCTCCACCGACAGCTGCTCGATCTTCAGCGGGACGCTCACCTCCCTCCTCTTCAGCAGCTGGCTGAGGAAACACAACGAAAAGGCTTTTAGTCGGAAGCCGTCGGAGCCGGACCAGAACCAGAGTCTGTGATGTGAGCAGGCACTCTACCTGACCTCAGGTGTTCTTTATAACCAATCTCACTGAAGCAGAAGTATTCTTAAATCCATCAGCTCTCCCTCAGGATCATTTCTGTTTATTAATTTAAGTTCGTATTTAAAATGATCACCTGTCAGATCAATTTCTGGTACTGAGAATTATTTTACAGAAACATCAGAGTGTAAATACCCGAAATAAAAACATTTTGACTAATAAGCTTTGTAGAGGAACATGACCCATTTAATTTCTTAGAACTCTTCAAATAACAGCTAAAACAATCAAACAAAAAAAAAAAACTGTTGATGTAAAGGAAAGCTTTGGGACTAAAGAGCTGCGCTGTGACGTCATCACTACTTGCAGCTAGCGATGGCAGTAACGGACCGTCCAGAAGAAGATTCGGTCCTAAGGAACGTTCACCTCAGCGACACCTGGTGGCCAAAATGACGTCACGACTCTGTGCGTCTAAACCAAATTAAGAAATAAACTTAATTCTGAGCATAACAATAACAAAAAAAATTAAAACCTTATAAAACATTATTTTATAAAACTTTTAAATCGAAGTAACCTTTGAAAATGGGGGGAGTGGTGGCGCAGAGGTTAGAGAGGTGGGCTTGTGATCCGAAGATCCCCGGCCGACAACATCAAAATTGTGGGTGGGGTAGGTGAAACACCCACACTTGCCCCCACCCTCATTCGCCCCACTCTGGGCCCATGAGCAAGGCCCTTAACCCCCACCATGTGCTCCCTAAACAGGTCTCTCTTGAAAATGAGTTCTCGTGGCTCAATGAGACTAACCTGGATAAATAAAAAAAATATGGTTTAACTTATTTTATATAAACATGAGGTTTTGAAAGTTAAAGGAAGAGTCTTTTCTTTTCCCAGTAATTAGACTGAGACAGGTGTGTTCCCCTGGTGTATTCAAGTCTTTAACCCAGTAATTAGACAGAGACAGGTGTGTTCACCTGGTGTATTCATAGTCTTTAACCCAGTAATTAGACAGAGACTGGTGTGTTCACATGGTGTATTCATAGTCTTTAACCCAGTAATTAGACTGAGACAGGTGTGTTCCCCTGGTGTATTCATAGTCTTTAACCCAGTAATTAGACAGAGACTGGTGTGTTCACCTGGTGTATTCATAGTCTTTAACCCAGTAATTAGACTGAGACTGGTGTGTTCACCTGGTGTATTCATAGTCTTTAACCCAGTAATTAGACTGAGACTGGTGTGTTCACCTGGTGTATTCGTAGAGAGCAGGTACGATGCTGCAGTAGCTCCTCCTGATGGCCAGTAGAGCTCCGATGTAACCACACAGGATGAGCAGCTCACTGCGGGCTCTGAACACAAACATTCAAAGTAGATAAATTATTTGTTTTTAATGTTACGTTTGTTTTTGTCAGGACTACAGGTGTGGCTCACTGTCTGATCTCAGACAGGGATGAGGCCTCCTCAGAGGGAGAACATTTCTCCTCTTTGGAAGAAATGAAAACAAAGGACCGAAGGAAATGTTCTCACTGGGTCAGGTGGGAGACGATGAGGCGGTCGGTTCTGATGTAACTCATCAGGTCGAGGACGGGATGAAGGCTGTCCACGGTCCAGTTGGATCCTGACAGCTGTTCTGATGAGTGAGAATAAAAAACTGAAGATTATTTATCTGCTCAGATTCAAGGAATCCTTTTAGACTGATGGATTAAAAACTGCTTGTTTACAGAACAAAAACAGCAACTTATCAAAGAAAGCATTTATTTATTTAATAAAAACTGATTCAATTATTAGTTCAGGTCACATGTTTAAACATTTAGACATATTTTCCATCTGGTCTCCCTGAGCGAGTCAGAAGTTTAATGTTTGGCGAACCTTTGACGTGGCTGATTCCGATCTGGAGAGCGTTTTCGGGCTCGGAGCTCAGCAGGTGGAACTTTACGGCAGAAAACAGGTCGTGTTCCCTCAGGGCTTCTTCTGCCAACGTGCTGCACTCGTCCACGGAGGGCAGGCCGCACTTCAACAACAGAAACACCCGTTAGTGTCGCGCACGAGACCTCGGCTTCGCTCGGTACCTGGACTCACCCTGAGGTGGAGCTGGTCCAGCTCTGCAGAACCTCCTGGGTAAAAGGCACACAGCTGGGCCAAGAAGAAGTGGCTGTCAGGAATCATCTGCAGCAGCTGGGCTGACAGATCCCTGCACGAGGTAAGAACACCTGAGCACAGGTACGAGCTCCACGCTCTGACCACAACATCTACAACCTAAAGAAGCTTTTCTGCTCGGACACTAAATGTAGCTAAAACCTCCAACCAGGACACCAAAAATCCAATTTGATCAAAAAGCTGCTCAGAAAAGTTTGTTACTTTAAGAAGTTTCTGGACCATAAATACCTTTAAGTGAGTTTTATTCATCTGCTCAAAGACCCGACTCCTGGAGACGTGACATTTATAACTTTAATCCAGATTAAACATGAACAGAGCGTAGCCCTTTCAGAATAAAGCCCTGAGTCGTTTCAAAATAAAACCCTGATCCAGAAAACATAATCATAAATAAAATAAACAGAATGTAAAGATTTAAAAACTGTTTAAACACAACACAGCTGCTGGAGGACCAGAGGGGACCAGCCACAGCTGAGTGAAGCTGACACCCCACCCACTTCCAAAATTAAAGCAAATAGTCTGAATGGTTAGTGCTCCGTTAGTGCTGGTTTGTGCCGTTAAAATTTTCGTTTGTGCTGCTTTGGTTTATGAGATATTAAAAGTTATAATTTGGACCTGTGATAGACGCTCAGGCGCGTTCACGCGTGCTCAGGCGCGTTCACGTGTCCTTTATAACCGCAATCAGGTACTAAAAGGAAACATTTACGACAGTTGTGTTTTTGTTGTCAAATCTGATCCACACAATTACAGCCGGAGCGCGCGCCCGCCTTAAGTAAACGCTCTGCCCTGACGTGTGCGTGAACGCGCCTGAGGACGCGTGAACGCGCCTGAGCGTCTATTACAGGTCAAAATTATAACTTTTAATATCTCATAAACCAAAGCAGCACAAACGAAAATTTTAACGGCACAAACCAGCACTAACGGAGCACTAACCATTCAGACTATTTGCTTTAATTTTGGAAGTGGGTGGGGTGTCAGCTTCACTCAGCTACCAGCCACTGTCCTTCAGTTCTGGACCTTCTCTGATGGATGGAGAAGATGTTGTCCTAAAACCTGTAGATACTTTTCTGCATTGTGTTAGAGACACTAATGCACCCCCATACCATCAGAAAGGCAGCTGTTTGAATTGTGAGTTGATCCCGTCTGCTTGGTTCCAGACTGGATCAGATCAAGGTTATGAACTGGAGATGATGGATATTAAAGTATTTATTCAGGAACTTTATTCTGAAAGTGTTACTCCAGACTGCTGAACCTGTGCCCATCTTTATTTCTGAAAGTCTCTGTTTACACCCAGTCCTCAGACTGACTCCTGATTCTGATCCGGACCTCTGACTGTTTAACTTAAAACGGACGTGTTGCTGCCTATGGTTCTGTGGCGTGCAGCAGAGGTGGTGTACGGTTCTGTACCATGTAGGAGGAGTCATGTACTTCCTCGCCAACAGCTGGAGGCAGTAAGCTGTGCTCTGATTGGCCGCCTCTCCAAAGACCAGACCCACACACGCAGCCAGCTCCAGCTCGTTCCCTCGGATCAGACTGACCATGGCTGACTGCAAATACAGGTCCTGTTAAAACTGCTCTGTGAGCTTCGGAGTGGTTCTGGTTCTTACAGGATGTCAGATTTACCTGGATGTCGTCCACAGCCAGGTGGCAGCAGGCGGCCAGAACCGAGCATCCGTCCTGGAAGTACCACTCAGCCAGTTCCTGACAGACGTGACGGAGGAAACTGAGGAGGAGGAGTGAAGAAATGCAAACAGAAGAGATGTTCAAGTACGAGGTCAGAAGTTCTGGAGAACAATCAGTCCAAGACCTCGCAACATTTATGAAAGACCTTCAGAAGGACAGAGGGTCATCATGTCAGAGGGTCATCATCATGTCAGAGGGTCATCATGTCAGAGTCATCATGTCAGAGTCATCATGTCAGAGTCATCATGTCAGAGAGTCATCATGTCAGAGGGTCATCATGTCAGAGTCATCATGTCAGAGGGTCATTATGTCAGAGGGTCATCATGTCAGACTCATCATGTCAGAGTCATCATGTCAGAGGGTCATTATGTCAGAGGGTCATCATGTCAGAGTCATCATGTCAGAGTCATCATGTCAGACGGTCATCATGTCAGACTCATTGTGTCAGAGGGTCATCAGGTCAGACTCATCATGTCAGAGGGTCATCAGGTCAGACTCATCATGTCAGAGGGTCATTATGACAGAGAGTCATCAAGTAAAACTGTCATCATGTCAGAGGGTCATTATGACAGAGAGTCATCAAGTAAAAC